CGGAAGAACTTTCCACATAATCTTCGACTGTTTTATTCGTCCCCATTTAGGGTACGGAAACATAGTATTTCCTCTCCCACTCTAAAACGATAAGGACACTCTGGAGCGTATCCAACGGCGAGCCACGAAATCAGTTCGGGGACTCAAACTCAAGCCTAATGAAGAGCACCTCCAATCGCTTAAACTTTGCCCATTATAGTACAGGCGTCTTATAGGTGACTTTCTAATGGCTTACTGTATCCTTAACACTTCTGAACACCCCTTAAACATTTACTTAAGCTTAGTATCAACACAAACCTAAGGGATAACACCCAGAAACTGGCAACACAACACAGTAGGACGGACTTAAAAGGACAGTGGTATTCTTTCTCGTTGAGTTAATTAACTGTTTTGATCGTAAATTACGCATCAAAACTACTGTTTACACTTTAATTGCATCTACCCCAGTTAAAGTGATATTTTATTGAGTTTTTCGATTTTGCTTCTGTGTATTTACTGCATTGAAGCATACTTGGTCGACTTTTACTTGGTTTATTTAGTTAAGGTTTGAAAATCCTTCTACATATCCTGTTTTTGTCACCGTTCTAGTTTATTTTCAAGATGGCTATGTCTACTCATAAATGTGGACAACCATACTGCTTATTTCCCGTGGACGAAAGGATGCAATGTGATGAGTGTAATAAGTGGTTCCATAAGATGTGCACCCGATTAAGCCCCACTGCATATAATAATAATAATAATAATATATTTCTGCATGTGCAGGTACACACCGTTTTTACAGGCATGATCTATAAATTACAAGGTGTTCAAAGCCCAACTCTCATTGGCTTTGTAGTTTTTGTTGCTCGAGCAAAACATTGCTTATCCAGGAAGCAATTAGTTTCCTGGTGTTGGCTAATAAGAAGGTTGATGAGGGCTGTACTGATAACATTGGTACGGATGGCGAAGATTGCGTTAGTGTCGTAAGTGCTATCACGGCGCAAGCCAGACATCTCCCTGTGCAACCCGCAGTTAAACGTTCTCCCCCGAAACGATCAGTGAGTGACACGTCATTAGACGTTGGTGGCCATATTGCTACAGCAGCAACCGGTGACCCAGATAAAACAATTACTGTCCCGAGTTGTTCTAATGTAGACGTTTCGACTAATGGAAAATGGATGACGCGAAAACGTAGAAGAGTAGGAAAGATAGCTAAAACTAATGACTGTTTACTTGGTAAGTCCTTGGTGGACTCTCAGACCAATCCGCCAAAGTCCGATAGTAAAGCTTCGTCTGACATTGTTGTGAGTCATTCGCTTGACTCCCAGGACTCTGTTAAAATAAAAACTAATCGTAAGATACCAGTAGTTAAAACAAAGGATTTAACGTCACGGTCGAAAGCTGTGAACACAGTTTCAAAAGAAGCTAAACCCATCCCTAGTTTAATTATTTGGAATCTAGAGGAGTCGAAAGACAACGACCCTGCTAAAAGACACGCACATGACCTGCAGTTAGTGGAGTCTGTGGTAAGAAATGTACTACCTGAAGAGGTTTCAGGGGTACATATAACAAAAGTAATACGACTTGGTAAATGGGTTGGAGGCGAGACCCAACCAAGAAGGATCCTGAAGCTGGTTCTCGGGAGTTTCGAAGAAAGAGACATATTATTGAAAAGCGCACTAAAACGTCGTGCCTCAAATATCCGTATTCGACCAGATTGGCCGCTTGAGGATCGAATCAAGTGGAAGAATGCTCTTACGGAGTTGAGGACTCGCAAATTAAATGGCGAAAATAACCTTACCATTAAGGGTTTTCGGGTAGTCAGGTTTTGGAAGCCAATGCTTCCGAGGCCTGTATGGGTAGAACGATTGATTGCCAAAACACCTTAAGTGTGTGCTACACGAACGCTCGTAGTCTTAGAAATAAAACGTCCGAGCTAAGTCTGATGGTGCAAGAATTATGTCCCAATATAATCGTTGTTACAGAAACTTGGTTCACCGTAGATATAGACTGTTCTGCGTTCATTGCAGGTTATATCTGTATCAGAAGTGATAGAGTTTCGAGTCGCAAAGGGGGAGGTATAATATTATACGTTAGGGATCACTTTCGTATACAATCAACCATATCGGAGGCTCATATCAGTGGCACATGTGAGGTGGCATGTTGTAAGATTAAATCCAGAAATGGGTTAGTGACTATAGGGGGAATATACCATAGTCCGTCTTGTCTTGCTGACGACTTTATCCTAAGACACATCTGTTCTTGGAGTATGGCAGAATGTTGTCTCATCATTGGGGACTTCAACGCACCGCATATCAACTGGATAGAGCTTACAGCTCCAGGTAGTGGTTTCGATAGCGACCTTTTATCTACCGTTATTCAGTGTGCACTTGTACAATGTATCACAGAACCGACACATATTGATTTGCAACATGATCCGTCATTGCTGGACCTCGCCCTCACCCATCCCTGTGAGGATGTCTTTGATATCCAGCACCTTCCTTCACTAGTGAACAGTGATCACGTTGTAATTCACTTTAAGTTTAGGACACATAGTATACAATTCGTATCTGCTCCACCCCGTCCCAATATCTGGCGAGCTAATATTCCGGAAATCAGAAACTGTGCTATCTCGACCGATTGGTCGGTCGACGTGGATGAATTGATCGAAGATGAATGGAATAAATTTAAGGCTACATTCGAGTCCGTAACGTCGCCGTTTATCCCATGGTCAGCACGTAAGCTATCACATTGCCCTCCATGGATTAATAAGGAAACCTGGAAGCTGTTAAAGCGTAGGAAACATTTCTGGGACTTATTCTTGTTGACAAGTCATGAACCATTTAAGCGTGAGTACCAAAAATTCCGTAATATCTGTAAGAAAACCATAGCGAAATCCCGTACCACTTACGAACGACAGTTAGTATATGATAGCCGTACTTGTCCGAAACGATTGTTTTCGTATGTTAAACGGCAAATGAAACGTAGTGATGGTATTCCCCCGTTGCTGTTACACGAAAATTCAGAATTACTAGCTGAATCAGATCGAGCAATAGCTGAGACTTTTTCAGTTTATTTTAGCGAAGTCTTCTCTACGTTTATTGTAACAAATATTTGTCCCACTCACACCGAGATATCAACCATTGAATCTGTACAGGTGACTGAGGAAACTGTCCTTCCGTTGATAACTAACCTCAAACTTGGTAAGATACCGGGCCCTGACGGGTTACATCCACGGTTGCTGTCATCTCTTGCGGATATTATTTCAAAACCGCTTGCGACACTCTTCAACATGTCCCTCTCACTCGCTCAACTCCCTAGAGATTGGAAGGACGCTATAGTTAGTCCTATATTCAGGGACGGTCAGCGACAGATAGTATCTAACTACCGGCCTGTCAGTCTAACTAGCATAGTAGTTAAGTTACTCGAAAAGATAATTCGGGTTAAGTTTCTAAACCACATAGATTTGCACAATCTGTTAGCTCCTGAGCAACATGGATTTCGTAACAAGCGTTCATGCTTGACTAACTTGCTTATTGCGAGGAAGGATTGGACAGCAGCCCTAGATCACGGTCTGTCTATCGATGTGATATTCATAGATTTTAGCAAAGCATTTGACAAGGTTTCACACGTAGGTCTTATGCAGAAGCTCACGAGCTTCGGAATAATAGGTACTGTACATGAGTGGATAGGAAATTTCTTATGTGACCGCCGAGAGATAGTGAGGGTCAATGGAACGCTATCCGATTGGAAGCCGGTCAAAAGTGGTGTACCCCAAGGCACCATCTTAGGCCCTCTGCTCTTCCTTCTCTACGTTAATGAGTTACCACTGTTACTTAGGTCGTCGACATTATTGTTTGCGGATGACGTAAAAATCTGGAGAACAATAAAAAGTGCGGCTGATCATCTGGATCTTCAAGCTGACTTAGACGATTTAGTTAGATGGGCTCGAGAGTGGGGCTTAAAAATCAATGCTAGGAAGACTGTGCTAATGCACGTCGGTCACGGTAATAGTTACCGTTACACTATTGAGGGTAAACCTCTTCCATGCGTTCAAGAGCATAAAGACTTAAGAGTAGTATTAAGTCATGATTTAAAAACAACTACGCATTGCAAAGCAGCCGCTGTCAAAGGTTTTCGTGCGTCATGGTCACTTCGCCGAGCGTTCAAATCTTTTGACGAGGAAACGTTTCGAATTTTATATCCCATATATGTTAGACCACATTTAGAGTACTGTATCCAAGCAGCTAACCCGTGTCTGGTAAAGGATACTAACTCCCTTGAGCGTGTCCAGCGTGTGGGAACGAAATTAGTGAAGGGTCTTTCTAGACTCCCTTACGATGAGCGTTTAAAACGCCTAAATCTTTTCCCCTTGTCGTATCGTAGGACACGAGGTGACCTTATACTGGCATTTCGTATCTTTAATTATGATTTGAATGTTAATATGTCTTATCGTTTTGCTCCCTCCAGCACTAATAATCTCCGAGGTCATAGCAAGAAGGTTCATAAACCACGATCTAATAAACTTAAAGTGGGATCCCGTTTTTCTCATCGAGTAGTCAATCATTGGGACGCCTTACCCGAACAAGTGGTATCAGCCCCATCAGTGAATACTTTCAAGGAAAAGCTGAACCTTCACTGGAAAGCAATGTGTCAGGATTAACACAGGTTCATCAACCTACTATCCTTATTACTGAAGACTGACTCCTACTCTTTAACATTTGTCAAATGCTGGAATTTGCTGCCGTCTGAGCTAGTCCAAGCCACTTCCCAGGAGTCATTTAAGAGGAAACTTGACCTGTTCTTAAGGACTAAGGATAACATCTTATTGTGATTTACCAATTTCTTTTTTCCCTCTATTATCGTTAATATACCTAGGTTCTTGTCTGAGGGTATTGGTGATCCACTGCTACTAGATACGGATTGGTGTTTATATATATATATATATTCAATATCATCAAATACTTGAAATCGTATTGAAATAATAAACGAGTTCAAATGAGACAGTTGGTTAGCATAAACTTGACTCAAAGATATTGGTTCATCACACTTTTGTTGCGTCAGCAACTATTCAAATCATTTATATATCCAAGGCCACTGGAACTTTAAGAGGTACATTTTGTCTCGACTGACCATTAGCCCTCTTTTGTGGTAATAAGCCCTTATGTTCATGTGAAATTTGACCAGTTTTCGCGATTTCATTTGTACTTTACTACATGGTTTTTTTAACAACTGCATTATGTGTAAACCAGGTTGCAAAATAACTTTCAGGTATCTATGTAAACAGACTACCCAAGTTGGAGTTCCACTTCATGGCTACCTATAATGCTACTAATGAAATCAGATGTGCATTATCTGTCATACAAAAGTAACTACTTTAGTGTATCAAGGTGTCATAAATGTTATACACAGACTATTAATAGCAGCCAAAAATGTACCTTGTGTATGTATATCACGATAAAAGTGAGTGAAGTTTTTAAAACTCAGTCACCAGAGTTCGGTATTTATCTAAAATGGAGCATTCTATACATGAATGAGTTAACTATTTACCATTTAGTGTAGTCTAATCCAATCACTCAAGTAAATACAGATAGTGCAGACAGTATATATTGGTCTAGTTACCATATCTATGACTTGAAGCTCCTCTCAGAAAATATCATAAAGTAACCTACGGATTTCTCTAATTTGCGTTTTAAGTTTATGTATTCGATTGCAAAGCTGCAATTTTATTGCAAATAAAGTTCGGTTTCCAACTTCAATTTCTTTTGTTGATTCAAGGAAATACAATCTAATAACCTTTAGAAACAAGGTACCGATTACCACCGTCAGTACTCTTAATAAACTAGAAAAACGTAACTTAATAAAAGCTGGTTAACTGCTTGTTACTAGCACCGCATATATAGTCTCTAACTGGTTTAGAAAACAATTCGTCATAAACTACATTATCGACTCTATGATGCCGGGTATTTTCGTCATTAATTTTGATGCTCCAAAATCATAAACAAATGTCACAAGTTTACAAAAAGACCCGTAAGGCTTTGGTCTTTCAGTGTATTATCGAGATTCGACAACTATCATTCGATTTTTAGATGAAATTCAATATAAAACTTATTTGCTTTTATTTGGGTTGTGTTATCATAGTTAGGTCTTAACTTTAATAATGATCAAATATAAAAAGTTGTCATTTCACTTTGCATTTCAGTCAGTCCTTATTTTACCTAAAACAAGTTGAATGTTTCTATCAGATGTTTGTACTAGTGAAGTTGAAAACATTGGTAGCTTCGAATTTATCGCAACTGAAACTATAGGGTTCAAATACACTGAACTGGTAATCGGAAATAGAGAATTACCAGTTAGGTTTATATTTGAATAGCTGAAGGTCAATTATACTGCTACTTTCATATAAGCCAATGTATATGAGAAATTAGTTTTTCACCATTTGGCAGTCGTTTAAGTCGTTATTAGGAAAAAAACATCCAGGAACTTTTGCGATTTCTTCTCTGAATGCCAAAGTTCCATCATTCTCGTCCTCCGCGTATTATTTTATGGCGCCTAATGTTCTAGTCTCTGTAGCTTCGTAGGAAAATTCTACCAAGTATTAAATTAATTATACTAGGTTTTTTTCAAGAGCACTTCCGTGAACTGAATGATTTATCCATTGGGCAATTTTTCAGTAATTGATTTTGTAGAATTCCATACATCATCCATTTACTAGGCACCATCTGTAAATCCTCGTTTCTATATCGGTCAGCAGGCTTCCTTGGCTGGAACCCCAGAGTCTCTTTCCATTGATGTATGCTGTGTCTCCAAAACACGCATACAGGATTCCAGTGTGGTCATTCACTTGGCCTCACCTCGGCGAAACAGAGAGCCAACGGGATACACCCTACGTGTATCTGGTGATCCGATGGCCAGTTCTCGTGGACTGGCAGGTGTAGGCATAGCACTAAGCATGAGGGCGGAACAAGCACTGCTAGAGTGGATCCCCGTCAACAGTCGTCTATGTGCTGTTAGGCTAAACGGCTCCGTAAGAACTCGGAAGGGTAGGGACACACGTCGTTGCCTTTTCGTCGTTTGTGCCTACGCTCCCACTGACCGCAGCTCAGATGATGTGAAAGATGAATTTTACAGAAAGCTTTCTGAAATTCTTTAGAAACCTAAACGCTCAGACAGTACTCGTAGGGGGTGACTTTAATGCTCAGATAGGTAGCTTAAACCAAACAAAAAGGCGTTTAGGTGGATATTTTAGCATTCCGGCACAGCGAACAGATAATGGTGACCGTCTGCTGCAACTGTGCTCAGACAATCGCTTATTTTTAGCAAACAAATTTTAAGCATAAGGAGAGACATCGTCTAACATGGCGACCCCCTACACCAAACCAACGATGGACTCAAATAGACCATATTGCCATCAGTCATCGTTGGAGAGGATCGGTAGAAGATTGTCGCTCATTCTGGAGTACCTGCTTGGACTCCGACGACGCCCTAATACGTGCACGCATCTGCTTGCGCCTCACTAGACGCAAAAAAGCTACATTAAAAAGACCCATTAGAACTGCGTTGAGTAACGAGAAAGTTAAAAATAGGTTCCAAGAACAACTGAGTTCACAATTAGGTAGTTCTGAAGACGAGGCTGACCCAGATGTTGCTTGGAAAGCTATACAAGCAGCTGTGGAAACAGCAGTGACATCTCTTAGCGACTTAAACCACAGAGTTACAAAGAACCAGTGGATTTCTTCAAAGTCTATCACACTGATGGATTCTCGCAAACTCTTCCCATCAGGTTCCGAACATGATGAAGAGCGACAACAAATCAAATCTAGGTTAAGAAAAAGTCTAAGAAAAGACCGTGAGCAATGGTGGGCAACGAAAACAAAAGAGATAGAAAAAGTGGTGGTTATAGGGACACAAGACAGCTTTACAGACTAATAAAGGAAACTGGAATTAATAAGTCAAGTGTAAGTGAGATTATATCGGAAAAAGACGATTATTTATTTATTTATTTGGACACATGAATATTGGTACATGAGAGCGCCAATATATATGCGCCACACAAAACAATGAAAATTCGAAAGGAATACAAAGAAAGAAAACAAAGCTAAGGAGCGCAACAAAAAAAAGAGAGAACAATAACGAAGAGATTGGTGTAAGGTAATGTGCTAGTAATCAGGGAACGCAAAGGTACAATCGGAAGAAATCTTTCAGGTAAGGGAGACAGAACCACTTTTTATGAAGAAAGTAAAAGAAGGTTACAGCAGGATCGCCACTGGCTTCTATTCTGAGCCATATCTGATAACGTCTCTAGCCACTGTGTAGCACCATCTCTCGGACCCCAACCAGGGAGTCGTGAAGGACCAACACAAGCCAGTCCTTTGCAGCTTTCTTTCATGCCACGACACCATGTCATGCACTGACCACCTCTCCGCTTCTTCCAACCAGTCCCAGAGTCGGCAAATAATGCACGACGTGGAATTCTCTGGGACGACATTCGGAGAACATGTCCAAGCCACCGAAGTCGGTGTTTCAAGATGGTAACACAAATTGAATTATCATCTCTGTGCCCGAACACACGATGCCGAACCTCTGCATTACTGACATGGTGTTGCCACTGAATGTCAACAATCCTTCGGAGACAGCGATGATCGAACACAGAGAGTCGTCTAACGTCCTCAACTCGGAGAGGCCAGGTTTCACAAGCATAGAGCAAAACTGCTCTCACCGACGCGTTGTAGATCCGACCTTTTACAGCCAGACTAACATCACGAAGGCGCCAAAGGTGGCCCAGATTGGCATAAGCCGCTCTGGCTTTCACTATTCGTGCATTGATCTCATCACTCACACCCCCACCAGCACTTATGCAGCTACCCAGATACACGAACTTCTCAACTACGTCTATCTGCTCACCATCCAGGGTGAGTACAGGATTAGAATCCTGCCAGTCTTGTAGAAGTACTTTGCACTTCGAAGGTGCAAAGCATATACCATACCTACGGACACTGATTGCCAACTGATTAAGTGCGGATTGCATGCCTTGGGCATTATCGCACAGTAAGACAATATCGTCCGCATACTCAAGGTCGAGAAGTCTTTCTCCAGGCAACAGATCCACACCACCATTACTTACATTCATCAGAGCTGTTTCCAGAATGTCATCGATGGCAAAGTTGAAGAGGAATGGTGAGACTGGGCAACCCTGCCTAACCCCACTGCTCGAATGGAACAATGGAGAGAGGTGGTTGTATGCCCTCACTCTGCCTGAGGTGTTTTTATATAGGGCTTTTAGGATGTTAATAAACTTCTCAGGCACACCCTTCTTCAACAGACAATCCCAAAGAACAGTCCTGTCCAACAAATCGAAGGCAGCCCTGATGTCAAGAAACACTACGATTGTTGGCCTTTGATAAGTATGGCGATGTTTTAACATTTGGTGAAGGGTGAAGATATGATCAATACATCCTCGACCAGAACGAAACCCAGCCTGCTCCTCGCGAGTCAATCTTTCTCGGGTTTTGAACAACCTACGAAGTATGACAGAAGCCAGTAGCTTGGACGCAATCGGAAGTAGACTTATCCCCCGATAGTTGTTGCAGGAACGACGTGAACCATTTTTAAAGATGGGGACAACTATCGACTCATTCCATGACGTTGGTACACTCTCTAGTTCCCAAACCTTTGTAAACAAAATCGCCAATTCCTTAGTCAAAAAGTCACCACCATCTTTAAAAAGAGCCGGAGGTAAGTCATCTGGGCCAGGTGATTTGTAACGCTTCAAGAGTTGGAGTTCCTTGCGGACTTCCTCCTCGTTTGGTGGATCAGTCGTCACCGGCCATGGAGGGCAGGACAGTCCGACCGATGTTGCCGGAGCAGCAGGCCAGTTGAACTGCCCTTCGAAAAATTCTGCCCATCGTCTAAGACGTCGATGGATGTTAGTGATTGGCATCCCATCATCCTCGCAGATTGTTTCACTCACACCAGACTTCTTGCTGCCAGTGGCTCAGATGAGCTGGAAGAGCTTCCGGTAGTTACCAGATGCAGCTGCTGCTTCCAGCTCATTAGCACGCTTCGATCACCAGGCTTCTCAGTTCTTAGTGTGACACCAACGCCAGCAAGAC